TGCTTGTTGCTGTTAGCCATCCGGAAACCTAATTTTTTCGGTCGGGACACAGCCTTTCCATTTCTATTAACCCAATGGCCCAGCAGAAACCCCTGCAAGCCACAGCCCAGCCCAGCCAGCCCACAGCCCAGCCCCCCAGCCCAGCCCACCAGCCAGCTCAGCCCAGCCCAGCCCGGCCCCAAATTCAAAATCAGGTTCCAGAAACCAAAACTTTCGGTCAAAACGTTCGGTCAAAAATTTGGCACCCCAGCCGTTAACAAGTTCTATAAACCCTAAACCCTAAACCCAAATCTACTAATCGGTAGCTTCGAGGATTTCGGCTGGATCTTCCGGCCCTGGGCCTCAAAGTAATGAGGTTAATATAGGGGCCTTAATAATTACCTTTTGCCTTTTTTAGGGGTTTAGGATTTAGGGTTAAGGGTTTTGGGGGTTCCTTATTGTATTTTTTTTGCATAATCGGCCCCAAAACCCTGTCCTCGTTATTAAGGCCGCTACATTATCCGGTTTTGTGCTCTGGGGAGATGGGGGCTGCATACCTTAACTTAGTAGCGGAGTAGGTAACCTTTAACCTTCTTGGGCTATGATATTCCCTATATAATCCCAAGGCTTAACCTTTGGTTCCCCATGATACTGGATACTGGACCAGTAGGTTAAGAGTGCTAGAATGCTAGAATTGAAGATGTTGGATTAGGTTGGATACTGCTCCACCTCAGTACGGGCTCAGGCCCTCTATAATACCCTTATCATAGAGTGCTGCTGTATCGGATCATGTAGTGGAAGCCTGAGCCAAATTCTGGCTTTTTCTTGCAGAGAACGGGCGCTGCTTATGTTCCACACTGCAGAGGAGGTGTTCTTCCCGCAGGTCTTGTGTAGAAGTAGTGTGCTAAACTTGTCCAGGCCTTGTCAGCAACACAAGCAGTAGTGACACTGATGATGCTTATAATGATGACCCAGGGCTGATGATGAAAAGACCCAGGGCTGATCAGCAACAAAAGCGAAATCAACACATACAGCAGCTACGGCAAGCCTACTTTCATTAGGAATGCTAGTGCCTAAACCCCAAGACCAAAAACCCCTCGCAACAGCAGTGCTGCCCGCAAAGTGGTGCTACACACTAAACCCCGAGCCCCCTAAACCGTTAAACCAAAAGCCCAGGTCCTAACCCCAAGTACCCAAACCCTAAACCCTAAACCCCATATCCCTTAATTAAGAAATATACCGTAAATCATCCTAGGCCCTACGATAATTAAGGTACATTCCTTTCTAAGGGACATTGGAGTCTCTGGGTCCTCCTGTTGGGGGATTTCAGAACTCCGAGTCGAGGTTTGAAGGGTGAGTCTCTTAGGGTGGTAAGTGGGTTGAAGTGTTCAGAACCCTACATGTCTATGTGGACCAAGGGTGGTTCCGGGGTTTGGGCGGAGCTTTTTGAGCCCCTGGAGGTTGCAACGAACATCCAGGTTGAGTTTAGGGTATCATGGCCCACGGTTTCTGGGTTAGGGTCCAGGAGTGTTCCAAAAAAGTGGGCTAGTGTTGTTGTCTTGGATTCTCGAAACCCAAAACCCGAAACCCTAAACCCGAAAATCCTGAACCCCAAAGCCCAAAACTCCAACGCTAAAGCCCTAAACCTCGAAACCCAAAACTTTAAACTTTAAGCGGAGATCTGTTCAGGGCGATCCCGGGTTCGCGCTGCTTCTGACCTGCTGCGCTGGCCTTGCGACGACCATCGGAGCTGCTATGGTGTCTTGCTTAGGGTTTCGGGTTTAGGGTTCAGGATTTTCGGGTTTGGGATTCAGGGTCTGGGGTTTACTGCTATGGTGGCTGGGTTGCTGACCTGAGTAGTGGCCTTTTCCCCTGTTTATTGCATGGTTCCCTTATTAAGGGTGCCTTGCCAACACGCGGTTTAGGGCTTAGGGTTCAGGGTTTCGGGTTTAGGGTTTTGAACCCTAAACCCTAAACCGTGGCTTTTGGGTTTAGCCCCTGGTCTATGAAGGGGGAGGGGAGTCGGAGGCTTGTCTCTGTCGCAGCGCAGAAGTCACAAGGCTTTTTGCGTCGACACCAACGATAACCGGGTCTTTGCCATCTGCTTGGCACTGTCTGCAGCTCGGCGGCAGCACGACATCCCACTGAACGAAGCATTGCACCAAAATCCGCAGAGATACACTAAAAAAACCGCAGCATTGTTCGAAATGTATATTAGGTTGTGCAGGTTTATTGAAGACATGAACAAAGCGTGGCATACTGTGAGATTTCCTTTTGGGGGCAGAAAGATGTCTGGGAACTCGAAAACCCGCCTGTGAAAGGATGTCCTAGAACCACTTCACAACGAATTGCAGCGCCCAGCGAGCTCAATACCCCCTAAACCCTAAACCCTAAACCCTAAACCCCTAAACCCTAAGTAGTTTGCTTGGTTTATGGCACCCACTAGGGTTTCCTAGACACCAAAAACTAAAACCGTACACCCCCAACCGGCAGCCACAGAGAGAGAGAGAGGCTCCCTAACCCTAAACCCTAAAAACCGTAAACCCTAAACCCCCAAACCTCATACCCCAAGAGAGAGAGAGAGAGAGATAGAGAGAGAGAGAGAGAGAGCTCTTAGGGTTTAGCGGTTCAGGCCTGGGGGTTTCTCGGACCAGGCAGGGTCTTTGAAAAACACTCGTAATCCCCTCAACCGCAAACCCTAAACCCCATTTTTCAAGGTTTCGTGAGCCCTAAACCCTACCTAAACCCTAAACCCGAAAGAGCGTGCTCAACCGTAAACCCTGAACCCTATGATTCAAGCTTTCGTGTGAGGGGGGAGGAGCCGGGGCCCCGGCGTCAGTCAGGTTTTAGGCTTCACGGTCAATTCTCGGGCCTGCGGCTTAAGGGCTCCAAACTCAGTCTGGAGCTCGAAAAGCTGCGGCCCTTTTAAGGTAATACAGGGGCCTTCATAAAATTAAGAGGGTTCTGGTGCCTACTATACTATAATTAGAATAAGGACCCCCCCCTCCACCCCCCCCCCAAAAAAAAACAAAAACAAACAAAAAAAACATAAAAAAAACATAGTATTAAGTAATTCTTTAGGCCCTAGATTATAGGACACCCTGACCTGAGCCGGCCCCGCCCTGCAATATGGTTTAGGTTCTAGGGTGTGTATAGGGTTTAGGGCTTAGGGTTTAGGGTGTAGGGTTTAGGGTGTAGGGTTTAGGGTGTAGGGTTTAGCGTATAGGGTGTAGGATTCAGGGTTTAGGGTTTAGGGTGTAGGGTTTGGGGTTTTGGGTTTAGGTTTGAGCAAACCAGTCGCGTCATGCAAGCCTGGTGAGGCCGCAAGTCGTGAGCCTTATAAAGTCCACATTCACATGTTGAGGCCTGCTCGTTGGAGGTGCCCCCATGCCATGCATAACCTCAGTTCTCTATTCACATTGAGCACAAGTTCTACTTAAGTTCTGGTTGCAAGGTAACCTTCAGCATCTCAAAACTTCGAAAAAAGTTGAAGCCCCAGGCAGGGGTGATGACCTACGTCTCCTTCATTGAGATCATCGGCAAGGCTGCTTGGTTTACTCAATGAAGCTTCTGGGTCTCGGGCCTTGGGGTTTAGGGTTTCGGGCCCTTAATAATTAGACTAATATAGGGGCTTCAATAATTACCTATATACTATTTTGGGGGTTCCTGATTATAACTGTATAATGGGGCATAGTTGGTTTCGGCTCGAGCTCGACTCTCATCACTCTCATCCCTGTGGGTATCAGGGCGCCCTTTGCGTCGCCTTGGGTTTGGTCAGGCTTCTCCTTCACCTTTCTTGTCACCCCAGCCCTCAACCCGAACTTCAATCTTTGTCTTTGCGCTCTTTAGGTTGCACAAGAGTTTGTGCATGCGTAGGAAAGGTGAGGGGAATCAATTTCGTGGCCAGCTGAACCGTATCTCCTCCCCCAAAATACCAGCCTCAACGGACGGCCGGGACTCGTAGAGAGGGAGCCGAAGTTAGTGCACCGCAGATCCTCCGAAGTCCTATCCGTACCATCCGGTGTAAGACCGAGGACAATCAGTTCCCAGGTTTCCAGAAAAAAGAGGGTTTAGGGTTTAGGGATCGGATGGGCACGTTTTAAAGCAGAAGCGTTGGAGCCTAGACAGATGTGCCTATCGCCAAGCTCAAGTGCCATAAGGTGCAATGGCTGCAGCAACCGGCCCGGTCTCTGATGAAAGAACAGTGCACTCTCCCTCGCACCGCTCTTTCCGTTCTGTTTGAAACTCGTTTTTGCACTGTAAGCAGCCTCTGTGGAAGCCTTTGGATGGCTTCATCTCGACATGATGCAAACAAAGATTCACCACAAGTCTTGTGTGCTAGATACAAGCATGATAACAAGCTGACCCCGGTATGTCCCATTGTCAAGCCCTATATAAGGGTTTACGATGTAATATACGGGCCTCAATCATTGCCTAGATGATGTTGAGGGCTCCGTACTATAATATTATAATAGAAAGGCTCCCAAAACCATATATTAAGGCCCCTACACCCCAAACCCTTCTAGTAGCCCTTATAGAACCCTTTAAAGGAACCCGATGAAACCCTATTCTAATCATCCGCGGAGGCGGATGAAAGCTTCCAGGAGGCAGGCCTGGAAGCGGGCGATTCCTTTTCGATCCTTGGCATGACCCTCATCCTAGGGGCTGAGTAAGTAACCTTTAACCTTTTGGGGCTAGAATCCTACTATAACTCAAAAGGTTAACCTTTTTTGGGCTAGGGTGCTCAGCGCCGAAGTCATCTCCAAACCCCAACCCTTAAACCCGAAACCCTAAACTCTTGGTGTTAAAGCCCTGCAGATCCCTTAAAGGAGACCTTAAAGGTACCCAAACCCAGAACAGGTATTGGGATTGGATAGTTTCAAGATTAAGGACTCTGATAGGTCCCATAGGGTTTTTCTAGGTAGTATTAGGGAGACCCCTTAAGGGAGACCCTTCTTAACCCGGCTCTCTTAAAACGGACGTTATTGCGAGGGTCTACGTCCCCAAGCGTCCCCCTAATCCTAACTCCCAGGTTTAGGGTTTGGGGGATTAGGGACGCTCACGACAAAGGACATAAGCACAAGCATTTTTTCAGGATCCCTACCTCATTGGGCTTCATTTTAAGGGGGTTTATGTGGGATATCACTGTCCTGGCTTTTGCTCATGTGCTTTTTGGGGCCCTACCTGAGATCATTGAGATCGTAAGCCTTGAGCTTGAAATCCTAAACCCCTAGACCCTAAACCCTAAACTCTAAAACCCCAAAACCTAAACCCTAAACCCCTAGACCCTAAAACCTAAAACCCTAAACCCCTCGACCCTTATAAACCCTAA